TTTAACAAAAGATTTTTCAAGTCTGTGAAGGCTCAGAGCAGTAACCACCGACTCTTTATCAGCTAGCTTGCAGAGGGAAGAAGGAAAAAAAAAAAAAAAAGTTTGGGGTCTCTCACTGAGGAAGCCATGAAATAAAAGTAGTACATGTTTGCCCTGGTCTGGCAGTATTTCAGGATACCTCTGACCACAGAGACTTGTTGACCCCTTCAGCACCCATTATAAGCTGAGAGTCATTCCAAAACCTTGGCTGAAAGAAATTTAGAACAGACTTTCTGCCCACTGCCAGTCTCCATATAGGGCCTTGCAGGTCCTTATACCCTCTTCCATCTGTTCAGTGGAAACAAAGTGATGTAGTAGCTTCAATATTGCCACTTCTGACCCAACTACCGCAGTGGGTACAATAACTCAAGGTTTTCATTGATTTGGGACTAGGTAGAAGCCAGTCAGTCAGGCACTAACACTGACAAGACAAATCCTGTCAGTTGCAGGGGGAAAAAAGAAGCATCAGAATTTCTAAAGTCTCTTTGCAGAGACCAGCCAATTGGAGAATATGCAGAAACAAATGAGATTACAGGCACAAATGGGAGGAGATAAGAGTGGCACAGTTCTTATTTTGGGAAGGACCTTGTCAGAGTGATCCCTTCAAAGTAATTAATAACTATATTCTGAAAGTCCAATTAAAATGTACACCTATCCTCTACCCCAAGAAATATTATTCTGCAAGCTGTGCCAGATTCATCATCACTATTATCACAAACAAATTTGTTTATTTTATCATTTCTGGCTACTTGCAAATACCAGCAATAATCCCATGGGACAACACCACAGACTAAAGCACATGTTATAGCAGAGAACAATTTAACTTCAATTAACCCAGTATAACATCCAGGAAAATAAGAAAAAAATTCTTTTAAGAGGAAGTTTTCTGTCAGGCTAACAAGCTGAATAAGATGAAGGTGTGCCCAGACAAGTGCCAGAACTGCAATAAAAGCAAGGAGAAGGAAGACCGGTTAAGCACAGACATCTGCCCTTGCAGGAGCAAAGAGCACTAGTCACAGACCAAATCAATCCGAGTTCAGACATCCTTGCCCCTGGATCATTTGGCTCTTCTGAATTCAGCTCTGCTTGTTTTGGCAGGGACAAATTGCTAGAGGATCAGCCAAATTGGCATGAGAATGTTTGAACCAGTGGCAAATAGGTAAAATGATTGCCATGTTACTTTGGAAAGAAGATGACTCAACCCAAATCAAGTGGGAAGTTGAGAGCCAAGCAAACAACATTGCAGGAAAACAAGGCATCTGGAGCATAAAAGCAGTCACAACAGGAATTCTCTTGTGACTAGACATGAAATATTATTACATAATTGCTCCAAGTGATTAAAATGCAGCCTTCAACTAACCACTTCCCTCTTATGCCAACCCCAAGAGGTGGAATGATCTGGAACGTCGCAAGTGCACACAGAGGGATGATGTGCAATTTAATCAAGCCCAGTCCTTGTCCATCACCAGCTTTTGGTCTCCATTATACAAATTAGCATGCAGAACAGCAAACAACCCCACCACTTAGCACAATCAAACACAGAGGATGGGTCATCCTAGTAACTGAGTGAAAAAAACAACAACCATTAATCCTGTAACTAAGAGCTTCCATGAAAACATTGTCCCAAGATAACAGCTGGTTTTACAGATGGTCAGAAGATGCAGGCGCTAAAGAAGTTAGTGAGAGAGTTAGGAAAGTCCCTGCTGAGCACACACTCCAGCTTCCTGCTAAGCTTCATGGCTACATACGTTTAGTTGTCACTACGTTGCTCATTGTATTAATGCTAATAATTTACCTGAAGCACGGCTTTATAAAGGTTTCCCACAGAAAAAAATTAAGAGTATTTCTCAGCATCCTTCCTTTGGACACTGATGAGATGATACATGGACCATTAAAAAGACTTTTTTTAAAACTAGCCTTTTGCCTAAGGGCTGGTTTAGGAGGTACCTCTCAAGAAATACACATGCACTTTGTTTATAACAGTATGGTGATGTTGATGTTGTGATAAAGAATAGATGAAAATCTTCAAAGAATCATTTAGCAGTGAAGAAGCCTTGCAAGTGAAATGTGCCAAGGGAAGATACTTATGTACAAACCAAGCTGAAGACCAAGATTTATGTGCCAAGTCAGGACATTAGCTCAGAAGGGTGATTTAACATGGCCACTGGAATCCCTGTGGTTAAATTATGCATCTGACCTCTTCACTACATGTATTTCAGCAGTGGTAAATAATAAGCACTATGTCCTTTATTACCATTTCCAGTTCTAATGACTGGCAGCACTATAAAAAGCACCGTTCCCAGTGACTCAGTCAAGCAGGTCAGGATAATGACAGCATCTAACATGGCAGTGACAGTCTTCAAGAAAGGTGCAAGGCCAGCCCTGGCTCCAGCAAACACTCAGAGAAGTGGGGCTAAACAAAGCATCAAGCAGCAAGACCTCCACTCCATCAAGCCCAAGCACGACACAGGCTGGGAGAAACTGAGCACCTGGGAAGGGATGGCTGGGAAAGCCTGGACAGAGATACAGCATCTGATGAAGGGTGTACCATTAGAAGAGAGACTATGGAGACTTAAGTGGAACTTAACACACCTTAAGGACAGCTACCCTGCCCCTGAGGAATGGGGGGGAAACAGTGATATTTCATATGCAAGTACATCAAATATGATTTCTGCTAAATAACCAGAATTGCTTAATTGTTTCTGAATACAAAGCAATGATGGAGCATCTAGCACTATTAGCTCAGACCACTGAAGGTAAGTACAAGAGGATTTACTTGCCAAACAAAAGTACATTTTTTATTAATATACTTTTGGCTCTCTTTATGATATTTCAATATAACCCCTGGCTACTACACAGACCAGCATATATTAGACTAAGATTTAATAAAATTCTATTTAGAAAGATGAGAACATTGCATAATACATTACAGAAATAAATGTATTTTTGAGGAGAGTTAAGGGTGATCTGAACATCCAGTCTCTTTAATTCATCCAGAGCAGCTCTTTCTCACAAAGGACAGTGGGATGCATGTAAGAGGAGTCAGCGGTTACAAGAATTGCTCCCACAGTATCAGAGCTCCTGGGGACTGATAAGAAATTAAGTCCAAATCAAGCTATGATGATCTTCTGTCTGGGTTTTTCCTCTCTTTCTGCATCAGAATTAAAACAGGCAGCACACCCACCCAGAAAACCCCCAAAACAAAACCAAAGTACAAACTAAGGAGGAATCCTGACCCTGAGAAAACAATCTAATTATAATTACATGGGATTACAAATCAAAGCAAAAAAGCTGCCAGGTTTTTGGAAGTGAGCATAAAATAAAAATAAAAACTCCACACTGGAAAAACCCATAGTCTCAAAAGATGATTATTATTCTTTCTAATACAAAACAAGACAGCAGGGGCCACAGATGTTTGTTTATCCCTTAAAATTGATCTGCCCTTTACCACAAGTTCTTCCAAAGAACACTTTTTATATTATCTCTAAAGAAGCATGCAAGACAGCAAACTAACTCTCCCTTGACCTTTTGTGGCCAACTTGACGATGACCTTCAAAGGATTCAAACATTTCCAAAATTTTTTTAAAGTTTATACTAAAAAAATATTTCAAGATAGTTTTTTCATCCTAAAGCTTCAGTGCTAAACTCCCAAACATATGAATAGCTCCATCTCTGAACATAAAAAGAATAAAATCTGACCTTCTTAAGTGTCTAATTTTCTTATACATTTCTGTATCACAAGTCATTCAGATCCAACATGTGTCTATGTTTCTCGCATGAAAGGAGTGTAGCTGGGTTACCTCCCTTTTTAATCCATTCTGGGTTCAAGGTATTGAGGGATTTGCTTTTTCCCTGTTGCACACTCTTTCAAGGGACACAAAGAGAAATCGAAATGATTTTCAATGATTCAATATAAGTGCGTGCTGGATGACCAAAGCACAATTAGGTTGTTCATCTGATTGTTGCCTCGTTTCTTTATCCCAACTAGATAAACACAGTTAAGCCAAAACACTGCTCCCAGGCAGGAAGTAATTTTTGCTGATCTTAGGAGGGGGGGTCTCGAGATTAAGGGAGCTACTTCCCTGGTGTAACCATTTCATTTTACATTTCCAGGAACTCCAGCTGCCTATTAATATCAACAGGGCCCATCTGCAGTCTGTGGGGCTTTTGCAGATCCGATACTACAAACAAGCAAAAGCTGTCAGGTGAAAAGGGAAGGTGAATTTTATATGCACTACTCAGCAAATATGAAGCAAGAGCGGAAAGCGGCACAGTCTCGTCACTAGAAATTTTCCACTTTAGCCATTACACGGGGAAACACAAAACACAGCAGCATGCACTTTCTGCTTCTGGAGTAAAACAACTTGTATGGGACATTTATTTAATTGCTGCGCCAAAATAGTTTTCAAAAGAATAAGTGCAAAACCGGAAGAATTCAGGAGAACTTTTGTCTTATTTTACTCACAACAGTCAGCATTTCTTCACGTTCCCCAAAAATCAGCCTGGTTTTTGATGTGCAGGGCTGCTTTAGCATACTTGCACAAAGATCAGCTGGAGCCCTCTCTGCAACCCTTTCCCCTCGCCGGCTGGGGCTCATGCCTACAGCATCTTTCCCGCGGACACCCAGAGACAGCAGGACAGCACCAGGAACCCAAAGAGACACACGGGATCCCGTTTCAGGACATAACTTCGCAGCTTAGTGCTGCAACCAGTGTGCGGGTACAAGTCCACAGGCTGGACAGCTGGTGTGACACAGCGGGAGGGGAAGGGCTGCGCGAATGCGGGATGGACTTTCTCCGGGTGGGAGGCTAACCCACGGACACTTGACTGACCCAGCTGCAGCACGCAAGGACAGATTCGTATCGTGTCCAGCGGCTCCCCTTGCCTTGGAAAGAGCGGGTGCCGAGAGGGTCCGTGGGGGCTGGGCAGGGAGGGGGGCCGAGAGAAGTCGCCTTTCTCACCTTGCTCACGACGTTTTGGACGAGGCCGGCTCTGATGCGGTAGTGCCACTCGCGGCAGCCGCACTCGCTGGCGTTGCCCCCCGCGGGGGTGGGCAGCCCCGGCGGAGGGAAGATGCTCCCGTTGCCGCTGTGGTTGGCGTGGATCGGCGCCAAGGTCCCGCTCCAGTTGCCCTGCCCGTCCGCCTCCCGGCACCAGAAGTCGGGCTGGTCCAGGAGGAAGGAGTCCGAGAACTTGCTGAAGCCGATGACGAGCGCCGGGACCCAGGTGAGCAGCACCAGGGTCCGCTGGTACCGGCCACTCAGCCCCCCAAGGAAGGGTAGCACCGAGCCGTCATAGTCGAGGAGCAGCGGGCTGCAGGCGGCGGCGGGCGGCGGCACCGGCAGCGCCTGGATCTCGGCCCCGGCGGCGTTGGCGGGGGGCGGCCCCGGGGGGGCGGCGGCGCCCCCCCCCACGGCCCCCGGCACCGAGCCGTTCTCCTCCGGCAGCGGCCGGCCCCCGCCGCCCGCCTCACGGCGTCGGTCTATCGCCATGCAGCCGCCCGGGGAGGCTCACATAGGGGGGGCCGGGGCAGCCCCGGCTCCCTCGCGAGTCCTTCCCTCCCTCTGCTCCGAGCACACACACACACACACACACACCTTGCAGCGTAAGATATTGCACACACGCTCCCAGCCGGACCCGGCAGGAGACGGATGGGGGAGGGAGAGAGGGAGGAGGGGAGGAAGGACAGGGGCGAAGGAAGGGGAGGCACCGAGGGAGCCCCTCGCTCTCTCCGCTCCTCACCCGCACCCTGCGGCCACGAACCGCTGCAGCTGCCGGCGGTGCCCCCCCGCTCCTCGCCTGTGCGTCAAGCTGCACTCATCCCAGCTCTCCCTTCCCCCTTCCGAGAGGCACCGCCGAAAATAAAAGAAAGGATCCAGCCGGATCCGAGCATGCGATGGGCCAAAGGAGAGGAAGGGAGAAGGCGGGGAGGTTAGAAAAGAGAAAAAAAAAGAGAAAAACCAGCCACCCCGCGAACCAAACCCTGCAACAACAAACCAAGCAAAACCGGTGCAGCAAGGCACCGAACACGCCTCCTCTCCCGGTTTTGGTGAGGAGGGGGAGGAGGGACAAGAGGGAAGGCAGAGGAAGGAGGAGAAGAAAATAACAGCTCCCGACACGGCTTCCCCGCTTCCCGCACGGCTAAGGGCTTCCCCTCGGCCGCGGCAGCAGCGGCGGCGGCAGCCCCCAGCACCTCCCCGCCGACCCCTCCCAGCCCCGCGTCCCGCACATCTGGCTCTGCAGCAAGGGGCCCCGCCGGCCCCTCCGCGGCCCGGGCTGCGGACGCGGTCACCGCGGTCACCACCGCCGCCACCACAGCCGTCGCCGCCGTGCGCCTCCCGCGGCAGCCCGCTCGCCGCGCCGTGCCGCCGGCCGCACCTCCAGAGGCGGGCGGGCAAACCCACCCGGCTCCCGGCAGCCCCCACCTGCCGGCCCGGCGCCGGCGCCACCGCCCCCCGCTCCGCCCCCGCGGTGCCGGGCGGCCGCACCTGCTCCCGCCGCGCCGCCGGCCCGGCCCGGCCCCCGCCAGGGACCCGCCGCCGCCGGGGGCGGGACGGCGCCGCGGGGCGGGGAGGGCGCGGGCGGCGAGCGGGGGCTCCGCGCCTCCCCGCGGCCGCGCTGCGCTCCGGCGGGCCGGGGCAGGTAGGGCGAGGGCTGGGCGAGAGGAGGAGGAGGAGGAGGCGCTCCGGGTCCGCAACGCGCTAGCTCCGTATCAATTATTTACACGGTATGTGTGCCTTTAATAACGCAGCGCGGCTGCAGCGGGCTGGGCGGGAGCGCACCGCATCGCCGAGCCGCAGGAGCACCCTGTGTGGCTGAAAAAAGGACGAGACTCGGAGGGAAGAACCGAAAGGTGAAGGGGGCATTTCTGAGACCTAGGGGGCGGCGAGGAGACGTGCCCGCGTCTCTTCAGTCAGCCTGTCACATAACTACACACTTTGAAGAAAATTATATCCTGTTAGCACCTGACGTTAATTGTAAAACAGGCATTTCAAATTTGTGAAGGATATTTTTGTGTTAAGCTAAATTTACTTCAGCGTGTAAGTGCCTAAGACTATTTTCATCGTGGAACACAGCCTGTGCATTACTGAACTGTGCGGTTATTTTTTCCTTTGTAAGAAGGGAAGGAGAGAAAACAGATCAATATACGCTTGTACACGTGAACACAGCTAGTGAACAGAAAATGCTTGTGTGCATTAGAAGAGGATGGGTGTCATTGCCAAATATAAATGGAAGAGCAAGTTGTTGATGGAATTTCATGTACTTGATCTGGTCTCTGCTTGCAAATTATTGTACAGCATTAATGCCTTAGATCTTCCTCCCTTTAGCTCTTTGTCATACAGAGGACATCAGAAAGGTTCCATGTCTACACCACTTCAGTGTGGTTCTGTGTCCCTTTTGTGGCGCTTCCTTGGGTTCTGCTCCGAGGAATACTCAGTACTTCAGAGGCCCTACAAGCCTCTCCAGGTGGCATTCCATCCTCTTCTCTGAATATTCCTTGCTGAAATGTGAATGTGGTGGTCCCTGCCAAGGGAAGTCTCCTCTTTCTGTGTTGCAGTGTCCCTTTTACATGGATATGCATGTCCTTTTACATTTACATGGCTGCTATCACGTCCCTGTGCCATGTTTTCTTTAAGATGACCAGCTGCAATTTGTCCACTTCTCCTGCAGTCTCTTTGGCCACTGTCTGCAGCTCTCTTATCTCTCCTCAGCTGGTGTCTGCAGCTTGTGCTGAGCGGCAATGCCCCAGCCTCTATGAGTGCAGGGGGTAACCCTGCCTGCAAAAACAATTCCTCTCATTGCTTTTCAGTCATCTTCTTTGCTTTCCAAGCAGCTTCTTAGGGTTATTTTGAATTCTTATTCCATCCTCCGATGTGTTTGCAGTTGCTCCCCAGTTAACGTCAGCTCGGAAGGCTGCTAGTGAAACACCCCCTTTGGAATGGATTTATAATCCACCCCCTTGCTTGTAAAACACTGACAACTGCTATTTCCAAACTTCTGTTCCCCCTGCCCAAATTTTTCAAATAAACGAACTCCCTCCTCTTAAGCACGTGCGTAGAGCCTAACCAAGGCACAGATGAGTGAAGTCCACTCTCTCCTCTTCCGTAATGGTCTGCTCTTCATTGCCAAGGGAAATTTGCCCAGATTGTCCCAGTTTCTAGCTGACAAGTTCATATTAATAGTTTATCCTATTGTTTCCTTCTGCCTATTTACAAATTGTGTGTCTATTTGTACTACGTGCTTTCTGGGGTGAAAACCTGGCTCATTTATGTATTTTCAAATGCCACTTTTAAAGACAGGCATCAGTTTGCTTAATTCTTGGCAATATTCCCTGGATTCTCAGAGATAAACACTAGTGTTTCCAACGCTGTTTGAGCCACTTCCTTCACTACCCTGGCATAAAGTGCAGCCAGACTATTGAATTGAACATCACAATGTTACCTAAGTACTCTGGTAGCTGGTTCTGCCCCAATGTGGGGTGAAGCCTTATTCCCTTGTCATTAATGTGTATTACATCAGTCACTGATCACAAGTGACCTCTTTTAGCCAAGACTGGTGCAAAGAAGGCCTGAGGCAGTCTGAGCCCTCTCTGGCATCAGTCAATAGCTTTCTCTCTCTGATGAGTAATCCACCCGCTTTTGACTTCCTCTTATCATTGATGTACGTACCAAACGATTTCTTATTACTTGGGATGCTCTTGCTAGTTAAGTTTTACTTGTTGAATTGGTTTTTTTGTGTTTGTCGTTACCCATTCTTTTCAAGAAGCACTTCTGCACACATCCCATGGAAAGATCTGCTTTCTCTGTGCTTGCTTTTTGTGGGCTCATGATTAACTCAATTCCTGCTTCCTAACATACCTAAATCTCTTCTGCAACGTGACCATTTGTGACAGGTCTTCTAGAGACTCTCAGCTAACACTCACTGTCTTTTCCCACAAAGGGGAAAAGGCCTCATCATAGCTTGGGACTGGCAGAGTGAAAAGCTATGGGAAAGAGAACTTTATGTATGAAGGTCTCAAGTTGAAGTTCTGAGGAAAGAGAAATTTGACTGAAGAAAGCAAAGAATTGAAAACTGGGGGAAAATGGGAAGGAAAAGAAGAGCCGTTAGAGAAATAAGTAGGTATTGTAGATCTATAGAAACAGAATTCATACAGCACAATGAAAAGCCTGTAATGAGAGGTTACAACTCTTACTCAAACTGATCAAACATTTTCATTCAAAACACCTTTTCTGGGCTGCTTCTACATCCTGAGTTTTTGTTTGGAATTGAAAAATTTCAAAGGTGGCATATTCCTGAGGGTTACACATTTTTACATAGTAGGAGTTCTGCCCTTGAAACAGTGATCCTCAAGAGACTGTTTCTGAGTAGAAGAAGGTTGCAGACAAAAGAGGAAAGAAGATGCATTTCTAGCAGCTAAGAAATAAATTTTTGATGAAATAAGTACTACTGAAGCAAAATGTTATGGGAAAAAAATCTTTGAAAAAAGAGGAATGCCCTTACATATTCCTGTGAAAACTGTTCTTGGTTTAAATGAGGAAATGAAAATTGTTTTAAAGGAATATTCCAGATGTGCGGTAGACACATGAACAAATGCTGAAGTCAAGCATCAAGACTCCCTCTCCTGAGCAAGGCTTCATGAGGAACTACATTTTGTGATCAAGCAAGTTTTCTCCAGCAGTGCTTCTTTGACTTGAGGGAGAAGAAACAGGATATTTGGGGTAATCCTTTGCAGAAATACAAAATGTGCAGTTTAAAAGAGAAGTTGTATTCAAAAAGAGAACAAATCAATATATTTTGATTTATGTTATCCACCTTCATTGAGTTATATTAGAAAAAGTTGTGCACCATTATGACCTGGGTCATCACTTGTTTGGGGTGGAGGAACAGAAGGTGACTCTGACCTACTCTGACAGGGACATTTTGATTGCCCTGTTGCAGAACAAACATCCTGTCTATTGGCATGCACTGCAGCTCAAGAGTGTTTCAAGCCAGGACCCAGAGAAGTATTATCATGTTTACACAAAGGAAGGAAAAAGAAATCAAGCTCCCTTAGCCTTCGCATTAACATTTTCACATTCTTGGGAGGCCAGACATGATACTTTGAAGAACTCCTGGTTTATGTGGAATTTGCAGCAACTTCATTCCATAGCAACAACTGTAGCTATATTTTATTGTTTTATGGGATGCATGCTTCATTGCCTTTTTTGTCTTAAGGAATCTTGTACTGTAAAGGTGAAATTATGACAATGTAATAAACCAAAGCTACTTGGTACAAAGTTTGATAAATAAACTTACCTATTGGAACGATGACTATTTATATAGTGGAGAAAAGCATGTTGTTTTCATAGGGCCGGATGAAAATTCAAGTTGAAAAGGATCAGGAGGTCTCTAGTCTCCCCTCCTCTTGCAGCAGGATTGGCTGTGGGGTTGGATGTGGATGTGCAGTGTTTTATCAAAATCCTATAAGGGATTTTTCAGTTCAGGAGGGTCA